ACCCTTCACACGCCACCTAAGAAACAAAAAAGAAAACCCTTCACACATCACCTCCGAAACGAAAAAGAAAACCCTTCACACGCCACCTAAGAAACAAAAAAGAAAACCCTTCACACACCACCTCCGAAACCAAAAAAAAAAATAAGCGGAGTGGAGTGGGCCAGCCACGGGGGAAGAAAAGGTGTGCACTCGGGAGGCACATAAGCAAGCAGCAGAAAGCCGGGCTGGGTCACCCTTCCCCCCAAAGGCCACATGGAGACTCGGGAGCTCCCCAACCTGGGGATGGGGGGGAAAAAAACCCTTCACACCTCCACCTTCAAAACCAAACACAATGGTGGTGGTCGTGGGGAAGAAGCGGTGTGTGCACTCGGGAGGCACATAAAAGCAGGCAGCAGAAGGCCGGGCTGGTTCACCCTTCCCCCCAAGGCCTCATGGAGACTCGGGAGCTCCATAACCTGGGGGTGGAGAAAACAGTGCACTCGGGAGGCACACAGGGGACCCACCCAGTCCGTGGAGACTCGGGAGCTCCATCTGATCCCCAAAAGAAACTTGGAAAAAAAAAAAAAAAAACACCGGGACGGTAAGGGAAGAGCACCGGGAGGCAAGTCCCACCATCCAAACTGCACGGGTGACAACCACGAAGCGGGAACGCCTGACACGCCACGTAGGTTGGGTTAAACGGGAAAAACGACCCAGCGAGGCTCGGAAGAGACCGCAACCTACAGAGTCCTTTCATGTCACCCACTTCAAGGACAGCGTGTCAGCACCTATCTGCAGGTACAATAAGGACAGATAGCAACCACTAGAAGAATGACACCAGGTACAGGGAGCAATTCACAGACCACAGGGGACTCCTGAAAGTGAGGCTGGGTGACATGTCCCAAAAATGTCCCCATAAACAAGAGAACCGACCCTCAAAGGAACAACTGGTCGACCTCATGACCATGAAAGGACCGAGAGAGCGAGGTGGACATGCCACAAAGCCGGGCGCCCAGCCTCCTCCCGGCCGAGGACCCTGCGACCAGCCGCTAGGGATGGAGCAGGGCAAGAAAAAAAAAAAATACCTGACGGTACAGGAAACCGGGGACCAGTGAACAGAGAACAGAGAAGCCGTGACCGCAGCCTCCTCTCGGCCTCGAGACGACGAGGCCCGCCTCTGAGGACCGAGAGTTCTGGCAAGGAGAAAAACAAAAGAAAAAAAAGAAAAAAATGCTCCGAGGCCACCCAACGAGTACGGACCAGGGAGGCGAGAAAGCCGTCGAGACCACAGTCTCCTCTCGCCCTCAGGATGGCGAGGCCCACCGCTGAGGACCGAGGAAAAAATAAATAAATAAATAAATAAATAAATAAATAAATAAATAAATAAATAAAGCTCCGAGACCCCCAACGAGTCCGGACCAGGGAGGAGAGAAAGCCGGGACCACAGCCTCCTCTCGGCCTCAGGATGGCGAGGCCCGCCGCCGAGGACCGAGGGTTCTGACAAGGAGGAAAATAATCAAAAGCTCCGACACCCCCAACGAGTCCGGGCACGGGCGGCGGGGAAGAGCCGTGATCAACCAGCGCCCCCTCTCGGCCTCGGGTCGCCGGGGACCCAGGGCTCTCTCTCTCTTAGAGAGAAAAGGCGAGGGAAAGACAGCTTTGAAAGCCGGGGTACTTCACCCATCCTGGGCCTGGCCGGACCCGACACCTAGCGGTGGGACGACGCGAACGACTCAAGCCTTCTGGTCGACCCGCTCAAGTCTCCCGGCACCCTCCCCAGCCGTGGCTTTCGTTCGGTTCCATCCCAGACGCACCCATAGGCGACTCTTCCGGCACAACCTCCTACACAGAGACCGTCCCCAAGCACGACACCGACCGCGGGACACGCCCGCCCGCCAGCCGGGACTCTCGTCACTCTTTCCGCCTCACAAAAGCCACTTCGCCCTCCTTGTCGGCGACCGAGGACCAGGAGCGTTGCACAAAACGGCCAACACCGCTAGGTGGCGCCCGACGACCCACCCGACCCACAGAGATCGCTCGCTCGCTCGCTCGCTCGCTCTCGCTCGCTCGGCCGCGGCGCGCGAGCCTTCTCTGGCGCGACAGAGTGTCCTCCCACGCTCACGCCCGGAGGTGACACGCACCCACGACAGGGCAGGGGACTCCCCGTCGTCGGTTCCCCCACACCCCATCCCCGAACATGGGTGAACGCGGGCTGGCCGGGACGGACGTTCGGGAGGAGCCACGGACGCTCAGGCTACGAAAACGAAAGGAGGAACCGAGACCACAGGCAGCTAGCTAGGAAAACAGGCCAATCGCTCTCCCTCGTGGAGAGGCAGGGAGGGAGGGAGGCTCACGGGAAACAAAGAGTGCGTCTCCACGATCAGTGACAATATTAAGTGGGCCAGTCGAGGGGCTGCGACACTTAGAGCACGGTGAGAGGGAGAGACCGAGGGACTGAGGGAGACCGAGGACCGAGGGAGGGAGGGAGGTGGCCATGGCAGGCAGTCTCCTGCCATCCGAGTCTCCTTTCAAAGACATAGACTTCACCTTGGCCACTGCTTACTTGCTTGCTTGCTTGCTTGCTTGCTTGCCTGCTTGCTTGCTTGCAGTTCTTTTTCTCCACACCACTCCCCACACCCCCGGCACCTACTTCTCAGACTAAATACCGAGTCAGAGAAAATGAAAACAGTCGTGGAATAATGTGTTTGTTTGTGTGTGTGTTTTAAAATATCTCCATTGGATTTCATTTCCAGGAATAATAGGGTCATGCGGATCTGTTGTGAACATTTTCACTTAGGACGGAGAAAATTAAAAGGTCGTTTGATGGATTTCTGGTGGAGGGTCTATTTCCCACCGCGATGAAGATGATCTCCTGATCCTTGTACTTTCAGTTTCTGAGTGCTGCTGGCATGACAGACACGGGCCCTCACACGCGCGTTGACGAGACAGTACTGACTGAGTGACAGCATGGAGCCCGTAGGACAAGGCTTCGGCTTCCCCTTCCCCTCCCACATAAACCAGAAAAATAAATAAATAGATCAATAAATACCCAGAGGCAGAAACATGGAAGCAGCTTCTCAGACCCTTTAGAGAAGGCTCCTGAGGTCTGACTGGGGTGACACACGTGGCAGAGGAGACGACTAGGCCAGGGCTCCTCCCTTCACAACCATCATCCAGGCCCCCAGCACTGCCTGCCTGCCTTCCTCCCTCCCTCCTTCCCTCCTTTTATAAATGCCAGGTTATTTATTTTAATTTACTTATTTTTAATTGCGTTGGGAGGCTAGACATTTTTGGGTTTTCGGGAGTGGACAGACATACGAAAGGAAGGAAGGAAGGAAGGAAGGAAGGAAGGAAGGAAGGAAGGAAGGAAGGA